TTAGATGTTTGCTAAAGCAATTATCATAGAAAAACGAATGAATATTTAGAAATTGTTGACAAGTGATCCCTGTAATAAATGTTTTCCAATTTTTCACATTAATTTGAATTTAAAATTAAAAAATATAAATTTTGCAAATGTCCTTCATGTTTAATATATTAATTTTGTGACGGTGTTACTAATTGGACTTACATATTTATGTTTTGATCCGAGTTTTTTTTTAATATCAGAAACAAATATCTGTACATAGTACTTAAGGAATAAAACCCGTTCTTCAAACAGTGTAAATCCTAGCCCAGATGAACTAAACAATTATTTCGTAAATGTAAGTAAAAATATCAAATCTAACATAGCTCCGAGTCAGGATGCTCTCTCCTTCCTCCTACCTACTAAAAGGATCACTGAAAGTTTCTTCCTAAGACCAGTAGATAAGCATGAACTAGTGCAAACCATAAACAACATCCAAAATAAATTTTCCTGTGGAATTGATGGCCTGTCCACCAAAATATTTCTAAATATACCGGATGTAGTAATCAACATTTTAACTTCACTGATTAATGAATCCTTTGAAATTGGTCTCTTTCCTAACTGTCTAAAAACAGCTATAATAATCCCACTTTATAAAGGTGGCGACAGAACCAAAACCTGTAACTATAGACCTATCGCGTTATTGCCTACCTTATCGAAGATAGTAGAACGGCTAATGAAAAACCGTCTTTTGCCCTTTCTTTTCAAGCATAACATCCTCACAGCTCATCAGTATGGCTTTCTACCTAAAAAATGCACTAGCGACGCAATGTTTTCCGTTCTTAATGAAATATATACATCACTTAATGATAAACTTTTCACCGCTTCAGTATTTTGTGACTTCGCAAAGGCCTTCGATTGTGTAAATCATGATATTTTAATTAATAAGTTACAAATTTATGGCATACGGGGTTCTCCTTTACAATGGTTTAAAACTTACCTAGAAAATAGAAATCATCAGGTACGGGCGAATGGTGAGGATTCTACAAATCTAGCAATAAGCAGTGGAGTACCTCAAGGATCAGTATTAGGTCCAATTTTGTTTTTATTATTCATCAACGACATCACAGACTTAAGAATAAGTGGTAGAATTACTTTATTTGCTGATGACACCAGTGTAACCTGGAATCATTCTAACATGCAGACATTACAATCTATCATAAGTGAAGATCTAGTGACTATTAAGTCCTGGTCTGATTCGAATGGACTTTGTTTCAACACCAGTAAAACTGTAGCATTGTCTTACAGAGGTACTTTACAACCTATAACTTTAAACAATATTCTGATTCTGATTAAATCGGTTTCTAAAGAGCTGACTCCTTCTACTGCATTAATAACCTACTTTTCCTTATTCGAATCTCACCTTCGCTATGGTTTACCTTTCTGGGGTTCTTGTAGCTTATACCTTTTCGAATCTATTTTTAAACTGCAAAAAAGAGCAATCCGCTATGTATTTGGTTTAAGTAGTAGGACACATTGCGAAAATTACTTCAAAAATTTCAAAATTCTAACCCTTCCTGCTCTATTTATTTTCGAATCCGTCTGCTTAATTCGCAAGCACATTCAAAATTTATCCGAAAGACCGACTCGTAGATATCCTACAAGAAATTTAGAGACTGATGTTTATTTAACAATGCCCACTTCTGACCTATTAAAACATTCCATTACCTACAATGCCAAAAAATTGTATAATAACCTTCCGATGCAATTAAAATCTATAAATACATACGATAAGTTCCGAAGACTGGCTAAAGCTTTTCTTCTAGAAAGACCATATTACACAGTAGCAGAATTTTATAACGTACCTTAGACATTTGAGTTCCACATACAATGGCATTAATTAAATAATTAAATATTAAAGTTTAAATTTAAATTTAAATTTAAAAATTAAATTAGAATAATTATAATGACGGATATTGCATATCCATTGCAATTGTTATTCCTATTTTGTCTGTTTGTTTCTGTTTGTTTTTTCTGCTGTTTAGTTATTTTTATAATATGTTTAGTATTTAAGTTACACGCTTTGTCTATAAAATTTTTGTAAATTTTTTTACGACAATAAAGCATATCTCTCTCTCTGTCTAAAGTGACAGCCTTAATATTTGACAAAAATATTTTTGATAACCAATAACCGCAAATTAAAAAAAGTTTCTTACTAAAATTTCTGTAAGTTAATATTTTGACGATAGTTTAATTTATTTATAGTTTATTTATTTAAAACATACTATTTACAATATATTTCAGACGTACTATTTAATTTATATATTACTTAGACACTAATTAACAATTCTAATTTATTTATTACACTTCAACTTTTCATTACAATGTTTTAAACTAAACTGTTTGCCGATACGTCGGCTATTTATACTAAGCCAATTCTCTGCTCGTAGTTTCTAGTAGACGCTCCCGAAAACGGCAGTTTCTCGAAGCGTCAGCGGCATACCTAGATTTCGTGGTTTTTTGTATATTCGAGACGCGGTCCGACTGTCTTCATACGTCAGCGTTGCATGAATCAAGTGGCAGACTTCGAAGGTCGCGCTTACACAGGATAGGCTTTAGGAATTTCATAACAATATATAATAATAATAATAATAATAAAAAAACTATAAAAGGTATTTACTTATACTCTGTTTTTAAACTAGGAGGAGCGAATTGAAAAGCCGTATTTACACAGGGAAAAGTAACTAGATTTGTTACTAAGAGCGAGTTTCGAAATATAGCCGTGTTCAAAATTTATGAAATAATTATCTTTATCGGCCTTAGTCGGTAAACGGCCAATGAGCGGTTAAGAAACGAATAAATGTCATAGAAGTAATTTTTTAATTGGTCCCAGACAACGGTCGCAAATTTCACATTATTGTGATCTGAAATGTGTGTCTAAAACGAAATGTCACTGTCAAATTAAAGTCAATATGGTTGTTGATTGATGTCTGAAATACTTTTTTCTTGCTTTTGAAATCGACTTTTTGAGAATAACTATGATCTTTTTAAAATATATTAAATATTTAAGAAAATTGTTAATGGGATATCCAGATGTAGCCAGGTTAGTATAAAATATAAAGATCTGTTTACATTTTTAGGGGTATATTTGTTATAGGTATAAAAAGTAAAAGTTAATCAGTGGATCACACAGTAACTGCTATCTCTTCTATGAGTAATGTGGATATTATGGCTTATTTAGTGTTAACCCATGGTTAATGCGCTAGAGGGCAAATAAAGGCATTCAAAAGTTTACAGGCCTATGAGTCAGAATTTGTTTTGAAAACTGGAACTAACATTTTCATAACACTACATGTCAACATATATTTTTTAAAGTAAACTATTCATACATACCTATGTATTAATTTTAAGTATTTTTAAAATATTTTTTGTAAAGGAATGTTAACTCATTGTGCCAAATTAAGATTATCCCTAAAGTAGTAGATGGTGTTTTAAATGTTATAACAATTTTGTAAATAGTTTTATTTTATTCTAATAAATAAAATTTGCTTGAATATTTAGTTACATTTTAATCATTTTGGTTATAAATTCATCAATTTTTAGTTTTAAAAAATCAGTAATAAAATTATTTTTTTCTAAAATACTTCGGAATTCATCTCTTCATGGTAATCTCCCATCTTTTTACCTTCAAAAACCAATAATGCATTTTCTACAAAACTTTCAGAATCAGCATGTAAAATAATGTGTCTTCCCTTTCTTGTAAGGTTTTTCAGGAATTGCTACCTTTAATAGTACTCAGTGTAGAAGGATCCATAATTGTAGATTTTCAATACAATTGCTTACTGAAGAACTATTATTTACGAAATAAAGTAAAAAACTAAGTAATGGATGAGATATCAAATTATAAAATGTCAGAACTGTCAACAATATCAATTAGGCATTCCAAACAAATGAATTACCAGTGGGCAGGTTTGGTATATCTAAGGGTGGCGACATATGGTGTATTCTATCTACTTTACGTAAAATCATGAATAATGGATTACATTTAAATATTTTATGTCAAACACAATAAAAATAATATTTAAAAAACCCACCTATACATTTCTTCATAAATTGGCAGGCTTGGCGAGTACTACTTCGAATAAAAATAGCATCCAAGTTGCAAGACTATGTCGCTACCCCCTTAAATATACAAGAATTTCCCACTGGCACCTATTGTTTGACAGGTCGTTGGAATGCCTAATTATTAGCTGATGTTCATGCTAAAAAGTAATGTGTGAAACTGACTGTAATCTGACCAATCAGAAGGCTACAGAATTGCCAACTTAAATTCAAATCGCTCCTCTTAGTTTAAAAACAGAGTATAGTTTAACCTCGAAAATACCTGATAGGGCTCACGAACGTTTTTTAGCAGTCGCGTTAACGTCACGCAGACGCAAATGGAATTTTTAGTTGACACGCAGCGCTTTTTGTCTTCTGTCCCAAAACAAGGCAGAGTAAATTCGTCTTAAGAACAGAAAAGATGGATGTAAGTTCAAAAAAAAGTGATATTTGTACCTATATCTTTTTTGCAGTTTGTGAGGAAGAAGAAAAAATACTGGGTATATCCTTACTCAAGTTCCTTGCCTTCTTAAAAAAAAACCGTGTTATATATTACTACTTTTAAAGCACGCCTCTGAATTTGACCCGTTTTTATATAATTTGATCTGGAATTGCCTAATTTTATCGAACTTTTTCAAACAGTTTCTAAATTTGGTTTTTTACGTAAGAAAGTATAAATTACCGGTCCAATGGGAGACAATAAATAATTGTGATAAATTTATCGGCGAAAAATAATTTGTAGGAAAAAGACGAACGCCCGCCCGCCCGAGATAAGAGCCAGAAATAAGAGTAAGAATCAAGAGTCAGCCTCACGTAAATCACGAGGACACAAAACCCGCTGATAACTTTTAACCCACCATCAGAGAACATCCAATTTTCCTCTATAAATCTTCGGATAATCTCGTCTAATTCTGTCTTTATTATTGTTACAGACCGGCAAGCACTTTCATCGCACCTCGCTACTCATCAAAGCTTTCAACCACAAGTTTCGACTGGATCTCGAGCTTAACACGTAAGTTACACAACTTTGAATTTATTAGGGGTGGTTCTGGCTACCGAAAACGAACGAAACTTCTCCAAAGAGTCAAGTGAGCAATGATTAAATGGCATGGAACGAGTTAGACGGCATTGCTTCGCGAATATTTTATGGAAGTTAGAAATTAAAAAATAAAGTACAAATATCACTCACATCTCAAGTAGGGGATCGTGGTCGATGATGGGACACTTTTCAATATTTTATTTTTTCTGGCGCATATTTTACTTTCTTAAAGGTTTAAGGGTATCAAATCATTGCTTCGGATATTCTTAATTATGTGTTATTTGAGATTTTATATAAAATTAAAAGTAAAGAATAGATGATGGTTGTACCAGTATGAACCATTTGTCCCAGTATAGACCAATACAGGTTCATAGTGGGACCTCTATTGGTACATGATGGGACACGTACGGTCTATGCAGGGACTAATGAAATTTAGATACCTCTGGAGTATCAATCTTAAAAATATTTAAAACATTTATTTGCAATCAAACTTAGTACAAAACAGAACATAAAATTATGGCACAATATATTATAAAAAATATATTATAAAAAAATTAAAACAATTCAACTCCTGCGTATTTTTATAAGATTTTTCAAGAAAACAAGTTTTAATTCTTGCAAACGTTTTCTACTTTTTAAAGTCGTCTTTTGGTAAAAGAATATAAAATTTGGTAGAAGATCTGCAATAGTTCAAAGTTAAATAATTAATTAGAAAATTAAATATGTATGTTTTACCACTAGATGAAATTCAGTAATACAATGTTTTTTTTGCAATTCTTGATTATAATATGTCAATAATTCTTGTATTGTTGCATACCAAAAATGTTGTGTGACGATATCGGTGTAGGTTTCAATAGCAGTAGGTTTAATAGTTTCTAAACTTTTTGATCATTGTGATATGTATTTATTAATTAATACAACCAACAGGCTTTATCAGCCCAATTACAGGAGTATATAATATATTTAAAAATACAAAGTTTGAGAATACTCACTTAACTAAATTAAATTCTAATTACCTAATTTGATACTAATCTGTAACATTGCTCTATAAATTGGTAAAATTTTAGAAAAAATATATCAATAGAATACTGATTGACACTTCTACACATTGTAGTTAAAGGACTGTGAAAGTGATGTTGTGAATTTGTCACTTGGATATGAAATGTTATATTTGACCTCGACGTAATACGTGGGATATGAAAATTAAATTGAGACAGCAGAGAAGATGCATCTATAAAATTATTAATTAATTTATAGATGAATAGCAAAGCTGCTATTTCTCTTCTTTTTCTCAGACTACTTTAAATGATTAGTATTCCAAACACAACTGCAATACTCCAGTTTGCTACGAACTAGTGAAAAATAAACAGAGAAGATGGCTTCTAAAGATTTTAACTTTTTACAGTTTCTAATAACAAAATCCAAGATTTTTGTTGAACTTTGTACAGTGTTTTCAACAAGTTCCGAAAAAGTCAGTTTGCTGTCAAATAATATATCTAAATATCTGTAATTATATATCCGGGGAATAACAAGATTATCTAATTGATAATCATTAGAGCTAGAAATATATGCAAAACGCCATATTTTGCATATGTTGCATATATACACAATTTTTGATTTTGAATGCATATATTGACATTTTGTTAATTTTTTGGCATATATCTGACGTACTAATGACTGGACATATTAAAATTATGAGTTTTGGACCAAAATAATATTTTGTGAAATGCCTTTACAGGTCGATTTCTTAAAATTTTAAAGGATTAACTTTTCTCTGTAATAAATTACAGTTAATGGTGTAGGTACTTCAGTAACCATCGGTGATTTCAATCCAGTACAGGGCATTGAGCATCTTTGGATAACCGTAGAAATTGAAAGGTCATCGGTTTTGATTGGAGTTATTTACCGAACGGAAACTTGCAATATTACAAAATTTATTGGATATTTTGATAATATTTTATCATATATATTACCTCAGTCTGATCATATTATTATTACGGGCGACATAAACATAAACCAGTTGGTTGATAACCAAATAAATCATTGCATGGAATCTTATAATTTTTCACAGTTAATATCAGAGCCCACTCGTATAACTACGACTTCTCAGACACTATTAGATGTAATTTTCACAAATAGGACAGATTTAGTTTTAAATTCAGGAGTCATTGATCATCAATTATCAGATCATCGTGCTGTTTACTGCGACATTGACTTAAACGTTAGTTATAAGATTCCCATATTAAAAACGTATAGATGTTATAAATATTTCTCAATCAACGCTTTCAACGCAGACCTAGTGAGTGCGCCGTGGCTAAATATTATTTATGAAAATAATATTGAAAAGAAAATACAGATTTTTAACAACCTAATCACAATATTATTTGACAACCATGCTCCTTATGTAGTGTCATATATCATTAGTTGTCAGTTGTGACAGGCTTGCGGTCGAAGTGCCTGTATCAATTATTACTAGTTGTACTATATTAAATAAAACCTTTCTTCGAAAAGTGTTGCCTTCATATTACCACACTAGCTGTTGTCTGTTGTTCTCAACTCCAAACATTACATGTAGAAGCCAAAATTACTAAACCGTATGCTCATTGGTTGACACCTACAATCCGGGACATGATGAAAACACGAGATAAAGCACTTTCTAAATATAAAAGATCCCAAAATATATTAGACTTCATTCATTACAAAGAAATGCGGAATATCGTTACTAGTGCAATTAGGAAAGAAAAATCAGCTTATTTAAATTATCGTGCAAGCATGCAAAACAAAAAAGACCTTTGGAAAGCAATGAAATCCTTGAATAATTTCAAATAAAACTACATTCCATATTCCTGATGGCTTAAGTGACCCTACTGATATAAACAAGTATTTTACGTCGGTATTCAGTCAGAGAAATTGTTGTCCTTACACTACATCTTATTATAACTCAAATCTCTTTAATCCTGGTATTAATTTCCCTTTTAAACTTGCAACAGTAAATGAAATTAGGTCAATAGTTTTGGAATTAAAATCAAACGCATTAGGAATTAATAACATCTCAGCAAAAATGTTACAACTTTCTATTTCAGTCTGTGCTCTTTACATAACGCACATTGTAAATTGCTGTTTAGAAGTTGGTTACTTTCCTAATAGCTGGAAGTATTCCTTAATCAAGCCTTTGCCAAAATCAAATAAGCCTGAAACATTTAGCGACCTTCGGCCCATAAGTATTTTACCGACGTTGTCCAAAATTATAGAAAAAGTAATTAGTAAACAAATATATACATACGTATTTTCTCATAATATTGTAACCACTAAACAATCAGGTTTTCGAAAGGGGTTTAGTACTACAACATTACTCTTAGATTTAACAGATAACATTATAAGATCAATGGATGAAGGAAAAGCTACAATAGTTACTCTGCTTGACTTTTCTAAAGCGTTTGACACTATAGATCATCAGCTTCTTTGTGCCAAACTCAAATATTTTGGTTTCGATGAAACCTCACTAAGGTTTTTCAAATTTTATTTAAGTAACCGCTACCAAAAAGTAACGTTAGAGAAATCATCTAACTTTATGTGTGTAACATCAGGAGTACCCCAAGGCTCGGTTCTTGGTCCCCTTTTGTTTTCCATATATATTTCAGACTTTTATAAATTATTGGAGCATGTAAATATACACTCTTTTGCTGACGACACGCAACTATATTATTCCTTTGACCCATGTGAAGTAGATATAGCCTCGCAAAACATGAATTCAGATTTAAATGCAGTATATACATTTTCTATGAATCATAACCTTAAACTAAATGCCAGTAAATGTCATACAATATTATTTTGTCCTAAAAATATAGAACATAATGTACAACAGAACCTTAAGCTATTCATTCAAAATGAACCTCTAAAATCTTGTAGAAGTGCCAAAAACGTAGGCATTATTTATGACTGCAAATTAAGGTTTCAGGACTATGTTTCGCTCCTAGTCAAAAAATCGTATCTGGTTATTCGTCAATTATACAGGAATCGAGGTATTTTGAGTTTCAAATTACGTAAGTTGCTTTGTGAAAGTCTTGTATTGTCCATCCTAAATTATGGACTTTTAATTTACTATCCTTGTTTGGATCAAATAACCAAATACAGACTTCAAAAGATTCAAAATTGTTGTTGTCGTTTTGTATTTGGTATCAGAAAGTATGATAGAATATCAAATAAAATTAAAGAACTTAGCTGGCTCAATATAGGAAATTTATTTAAATATCAGATGGCGGCCACGGTATTTCAAATTCTTTTAACCTCAACTCCCATATACTTAAAAAATAAATTGATATATCGGAAAGATCTGCACAGTTTACATTTAAGATATCCACACAACTTAACGATTCCGAATTACCGATTATCATTTTTCAAAAGATCTTTCACATATAACTCCATTTCAATATATAACAGTCTACCTAGGGAAATTAGGACATGTTCTTTGACATTTTTGAAACAAAATTATAAAACGTTGCTATTAGTTGAGCAATGAATACAGTGCTAACGTTAATATATTATTAATTTCAAACATTTTTCCTTATTTAATTGTATTTTAAGTTCCATTGATTTCAGTTTAGATTAAATACAGGGTTAACATTTTTAATCATAAATTAATTATATATTAAATTTCTTATTTTTTTTATATTGTAAATGATGGATACCTTTTGATTATTTTAAATTTATATTTATGTTGAGGTTAAGTTGAGTAGCGCAAGCTAGACTTCGCCTCATGATGTTTATGTGCATTGTATATTACAAGCAAATAAAGGCAATTTATTATTATTATTATTATTATTATTACTTGAGAGGATTAAATTATAAACACCCTCCTTAAACCAACAAATTTTGCTAAATATCCTTTCAGGTAGTTGTATTAATATCTTCAAATTTCTAAATGACTCAGTTTACTTTCAACCTCATTTCAGTCTTTATTGTTGTGTAGTGTT